TGGCTCGTTGCGTTGGCTTCGGTGCCTGTAGGAGAGGGGCTGCCGGGGCCGGGCTCTGCTGTGGAGGAGACTGCCATAATTTCCAGTGCTGTAACCGTGGGTCGGCTGGTTTCTTGCTAAAAAGCGTTCCCTGTGTTTTGACTAAAATTTATCTTGGAAAGCCAGTGGTTTGTTCAAGTCTTAGATTTTGAATCTGCTTCTTGTATGGGTTAGTGGTATATAAATATAGGTTATATTTTTGGACATACTTGACAGTCAAGATTTTGGTCAGGTGATTACACAGCTGTCATAATCATAGGGATGATAAAGCTTTTCAAACTGCTTGAGCAGTTTCCATCGGATATACTACCATAGCACAAAATCGGTAATTAAAAAAACTCCAGACACTGTGGAATTGTGACCCCTTTAATCTGTCTTAAGAACAAAGTTAAAACCTGAATAGTAGTGCTACGCTAAAGCATGGGTTGTTTATTGCTAGAGTTATGTAGTGGAGAAGATGTGAAGATAGTTTATTCCTGTGTTGAGGCTTTTATCTTTTATCTCTTTGTAAGTATTTATTTTACTGAAGTAAAAAAAAGCCTAAGTCTACAGGCCTATGACAGTATGGTTGTATAAAAAGAGGTCTAATATTATCTACAACTTTTCTAACAAATAATGAAAGAAAGGTCTTGCAGGAAATAAGATTTTATTAAAATACAAGTATCTTTGATAATGAGGAAGTACTAGATTTAGAAATAAATATTTATGTATGCTTCTTTCCTCTATGGTCTTCAGCAAGGAGGAAGAATTTCAGTCATATTTCATGACCCAATAAAGATTTTATGCCTTTTGTGTGTTATAAATGCTATAAATAGGAAGAGTCTGAAACTCTGCCGTGGAGTTTGTATATGAAAAGGTTTTCTTTTATAAATCTTGAATGACTGTTGGTCGTCCAAGCAACTGAAATGCCACTTAGGCAAAGCTGCCACTCTCCTTTGAGGTAAAGCTGACTATTTCAGAGAGTTCTTATAAGAACTTGACTATTTAAAACAAAAACAATGAATAAACTCATATAGAACTCCTTGTTTTTTTTCCTGACAGTTCTTCCCATTATGTAGCACTTACTCTCTGGGAGATGGTAGTGTCTGAAGAATAGTTTATTGCCTCTTTTGATTGCACAAAAGATGCAATGGTTTGCTTCTTTACCTTTGTATAAACAAGTAGGATGTGATGTCTAGGCTGTACTCTCTGTTTTACTGCTTGATCTTTGGCCATCCTCTCCTAAGAATGAAAGCTACTTCTGAGCACTTGCGCCAGAGAGATGATAGGAGATGTGTGTAGTTGCCACAGGAAGTTCTCTTGGGTATTTGAAACAAGTTTCCAAGTGTTCTGATAGACATAACTTGGCTGGGAAGGGAAGTCTTGGTTGAAACTAATTAGACTCTTTTTTTCCTCCCCCATTTTTGTAGAGGAATGGCTCCTTGTTGGTACCAAACAAGGGCATCTTCTGCTTTACAGGATCAAGAAAGACATAGGTAAGTTGATTTTAAGAATGGCACAAAAAACTTACTACGTTATTTTTATTCCCTGCACTTTAAGAGGTTGTAGTGATGTTAACGCAAGTATGTTTAGTTGCTGATTTTTTCCAACATAGAGTTTAATGAATATTTGTGGGAGATCGTTGGTGAAAGTGTACATACCATTTATCGGATATACAAGAAAGATAGCAAGTAGTATCAGCCTTTTTTCTCTTTTAAAGTATGTTTTATATCAGGTCTCCATATGCTTGAATTCATAGTACGTTAGTGTAATTTTTGTGATTATAGTGCACAAACATGCACAAAAGCAGTGTGATGTGCTAGTTGCCAGAGCTTTGATGTTTGTCTTCTGTTAATGAAGGACTGGATTAGTGAAAAGAGCAGCTTTATTCAGTGAGTCCATGAGCATCAAGGGATGGGGAAGAGGGATGCCTCCTAACTAGTTCTGTATTTACTCTTCTCCCTGCCTCTTTGACAGTCATAAGTGTTCATAGTCTATTCTAGAGATGCCACAAATAGACGTATTCTATTTTTGGTTTAGTTAAAATCGATTTTCAATAAACAGATTTGTATTTCACATTATCTGCTATTATGTAGAAACTGATGTTATTGAACATAGTAATGTTGTGTAGTGTGGGACAGGAAAGAAAAGCCCAATGTGTTTCCAAGTTCATCAGCTCTTGGAGAGATGTTTGTTTGTAGCTACTTGAATTCTAGAGACTGAATTCAGCTTGCTTTTTCTGAAACTTTTAGGCCATCTATTCCAATCAGAACATGCTAGTCTTGAGTTGCTAGTGTCTTATCTCACGTGGTAAATTTCTCCCCCTTTTTTGCATCAATGCCAGGAGAGGTTATATCATCAGAAAGTGTCTGTAAGTCTTTATCCCTAAAACTCCTTTTAAACCCTTGTGGTGTAGTGTTTATTCCTTGTCTACTTTGCAGTGATGTGCTCCCTAGCAATTTAAATTGCTGATATTTGATTGGTGTGGATAAAGTCTTTATGGGTGTCTTTGTATCTCTGGGTTTCAAAACATGTAAATATAGTTCTTGTAATCTAAAACTCCAGCAAGGCAAAAATGTAACTATTGATGAGGCCCTTGGGTACCAGAAGTGTAATTTACATTTTCACCTGACTATGTAGAATATCTTCTGATGCATTTAGCTGTTAAGTGAAAGATAGCACAGTTATGTTAGAGGAGTCATTCTTCTAGTGTTAAGTGGCCGAGTTTTCTGTCATAATTCTTTGTAATCTGTTTAGTGTAAGATAGATTCAGTCATAAATTTAAGGGCAACTTCAGTTTATGTACTTTCTCAAATCTTTCTGGTAGGTTGCAATAGATTTGAAGTGACACTGGAGAAATCCAACAAGAACTTCTCAAAAAAGATTCAGCAGGTAGGAAATACCATCTTTTTGACATCAGGACAGTGTTTTCAGGCGAGATATCAAATGTAATTCTGGAATCTCTGCTAAGCTTAACAAAAAATTTCCCCAAAACTGTAGTTTCTTCTAGAGGTGGCACAGCCTGGTGTTTTTGCCTACTCTTCCCATAACAGGAAAAAGTTTGGTTTGGTTGCTAAAACAGAAAGCAAAGAATTGAAACTTACAGGTTTATTTTTGAGTTTATGGAAATTCTGTTGTTTCCAGTAAATCTTCAGCTACTCTGACTGAGAATATTTGTAAAAATGATGGTAATATATAATTTGACTCTCAGATAAAATGCTACAGGAATGTGAATGTAATTGCTCTTCTTTCGAATTTAGAACTAAAGTAACTGATTATCTACTGCCAGTCTTACTACTGTTTCCTTTTTTTTTTTTTTGGAGAACTTTGGCTCATTGATTATATCGATACTCAGGAAAGCACTTATCTCAAAGATTATGCAGCCTCTTTCAACAACACTCTGCAAATCCTTCAGAAGTGCTTGTGTACAAGTAACATACCGCTTACTAGAACTTTTTTTTTTACTGGCTTAGCTTACAAGCTCTAAACGCTAGCTTGTAAAAACTGAGTGTAAGTGAAAGCCGTTGTAATAGCTGGAGGAAGGTTGTGCATAGATAGCTACCTTGCTATTTTCATTATTTTGAAAATATTGAAGATGCATTTTCTTAGGCTATCTGTAATCAAACCTTGTTCAGAGGTTTAGTTTATGAATGGAGTCACTAATAGCATTCCTTCTTTCAGATTCATGTTGTTTCTCAGTTTAAAATTCTGGTCAGTCTATTAGGTAAGTGAAGAAAATCTTTTAATATTTAACGAGCTCTTCTCAATGCAGTTACTTGGCTGAATGTGGCACCCTTTCCACACACCTGCATAGTAGTCTAGTTGTTGAAAAGACATTGTGTAGGATTTAGGCTTTTTCACTTTGCAGAGGAAGCATTATGCAGCATAGATTGAGAAGCAGCTTTGCTTGTCATAAGCCAACTTGGAGAACAAAGTATTAATGCTAAATTTTGTGATTAAAAATGAAAAAATACATTCATGTACTCAAGTGTGTGTGTATGTAAGTGTGTGTATATATAATTTGTCTGTATTGACATATATATACACACATATATATGTACATTCACGCGTATGTGTGTGCACTGTATGATAGGGGCTAAAACTTATGTCCGAACTTCGATGTGTGAAACTTACTGTTGATGTGTTACACCAAATTCAGTTGATATGCAGATGGTGATCTTTTACCATCTTGTGGAAGATCTAAGTTTGCTTCTGTCTGGCTATATTTGTTTAACCTTATGATCTTCCTATGTCTTTTTTTGCTTATGTTGCTACTCCCTTCTTTATCATCTCCGAGTCACACCTCTTCCGACTCCAGCATGCGTAGATTTCTGCTGCCTGCGTCCTCGTGCGTACAAAAGCTTGACCACAGTACCCTCCATTTGCAACTGTACACTTTTCACTTCTGGAGCCAGTTCAAAATGGTCTTTGTTCAGACAATCCTCCATCATGAACTTGCTCTGGTCTGGCCTGCGTGCTGTCCCTTCCACTCCCACTTCCACTGCTTGGTTAGCACCTGTTCTCGGTTCCTTCATTTAATTTGCCGATGCTGATGTTAGTCATCTCTTCTGCATTTATTGTGTTGTATTTTTATATGCCTTAGCACTTACTTTTCAGCTTTTGGGAAAACATTCCTTTTCCTTTCTTGCAGCTCTTAGTTTCACAAGTTCTTTTTATGTAAACATGAAATGTGATAACTTATTTGAATTAGCAATGAGTTCTACATGTATTAATATTCAATAATAATTGGAATTTTGTTTAAAACAGAAAATAACATTTATGTCCATGACCTGTTGACATTTCAACAAATCACCACAGTTTCCAAGGCAAAAGGCGCATCTCTCTTCACTTGTAATCTTCAGGTAAGAGGAGAAACGTAACAAACAGTAAGGACATCCGTGCCATTATAAAGATAACTTTTTAATGTTACTGTATAGATTAGGTTTGTTAATTTTATGTTACATGCAAGTTGCTTGGGTACTTGTGCTTTTTAAAATTATTACCTACTGGATGTTGAAACTTTGCTTAAGACAACAATTTTTAATGTAGTCACCTTAATTTTCTTCCTGTGCTTCATAAGATAGCTTCCCGTGCCTGTTGTGATTGTAGTCTTTAACCTCCTGATACAAAACTTCAGTGTGTTTTTATCCTGTAGTAACTTTGACTGTCTTCTTTTTGGAAAGGTCCTCTTCAATATAAAAGCCATTCCCTTCCCTTAAATTGTCAGTGTGCTACCTCATAGTGGTTCCCTTTGCCAAGCATCTCCATCACTGTTGTTACATTTTTTGTTTCTGTTAAACTGTATTGGCCCAAGGAGTTGCGGGGCAGCTGTGGGACACTTTATGCAGGCCGTAAAATGGTTCCATAAGGTATAGCAATTCTCTGTTCATATGTTGTGGTTTACTAAGTGACTCTTTTCTATCCAAGTGAGTTTCTTAGCCTACCCATGTCGTTCAGAAGCCTTATTCATAACCAGAAGTGATGCCTTAGTGCTCTTCATGACTTTTTATCTCTTTGCCCCATGGGAGCTTAGCGTTAAGTATTTTCTAGTAAGTACTTACTGTTTTCTAGGTGTTAAAACCAGTGATGGCTTTCAAAGCACCTTTAAATCTGGTCATTCCATAGTGCCTTGTTTGTGTGTACAAGCACTTAGCTTTGCTAGTATTTCTTGTCAGGAAACTTTTCTAATAGTCTAGGATATTAAAGAGCTATTAGTGTTTTTATTTGTCTATAACACATTCTTAGCGTTGTTCCATTTCCTCCCCTCTCCTTTACTGCAGATAGTTCAAGCTATTTATCCTGATCTTCAGGGATGGGCTGATAACTCTCTACTTGTCTTCTGTTTGTGTGTGTATATGTCTTTGGTGCTCTCTTTTTAAATTTTTTTTTTTTTTTTTTTATTTCTTTCGTGTCACAATCGCTGCCAAAGTTCATTTTTAAGTATCGTGCCCCCTTTCTGGCATGGATGAAAAAAGGTGCTCTTCAGCTGACAACTTTGCTTCAGGCTGAGGATTCTTTTATCCTTGTATTGTTTTACTTGTTACTTGCCTCTTAGTTTATGAGTGCCTATTAATTAGGCCTGTCTGTTTTCACAGCAGTCAGATACAGGGGAAGAGGTGCTGAGAATGTGTGTGGCAGTGCGGAAGAAGCTACAACTTTATTTTTGGAAGGACAGAGAGTTCCATGAACTACAGGTGAATTATGTTATTCCTGTAGTCTTGCATGCCTCAACAGGGGGTGTAGTTGCTCCTTACTGCTTGCTTTGTAGTCCCTGTTATTCAGAGGCACTGCTGACTTTCAGAGAATTCACTCCCGTTGATTCTGCAGTAATTTAACAGTGAAGCAGCAAATTAACTGTGATTTCAACTATGTATTTTCACTTTTATGACATTAATACAGTTTCATAAATTAAATCGAAGGCTGTGTTCTGTATTTTAGTATTCTGATTGTACTATGCCTGTAAGTCAGTGAAATGTAATAACATGCAGCTTCTGTAAGTGTATACCTAACAGTAACACTATGGAGTTGGGTCCACTTCTACTCAAAGTTTTCCAGGTATGTCATTAAGTCAGAAGGTAGTTACAGCAAGCATAAAGAACTGCACTTGTGAATACCAGAATGATAAAAATAACCAATGGAAATGGGTAGATAATTTTTCAGCTGGTCTTCTAGGAAGTTACCTGCTAACTCAGAGGTTTACTGTGCACGAGTCTGGCCTTTAGCTGATTATTGCCATTCCTTGACCAGCAGAAGTCGGGCATGTGTAGTGGGGAATATGGTGTCTACAACAGTGCTGCCTGTTACACTCTTGTGTTGCCAGATTTGACTCTTGCTTTTCTCTTGTAACAACCATTTTAACCTGTTTTCCTCAGGGAGACTTCAGTGTACCTGATGTACCCAAATCTATGGCCTGGTGTGAAAACTCCATCTGTGTAGGCTTCAAGAGGGACTATTACCTGATACGGGTAAGACTAGGGTTTGGAATACAGTGTTTAAGAAGATTTGGATAGCAGTAGGTGCTATGGAGGCTGCTCCTGTGCTCAGGGATTTAGCTAACAGACCTTTATGAAAAACAGCACCTGGTACTCTTGCTATATGTGGTTTTGGAAAGGGCAGTCTAAGTCTGTCCTTTTAAACTGATGTTTTGTCAGGAAGCAATCTTCTGTTTATTGCTGTTGAAACCAGTGTTTGAAGCTCTTGCAGAAAAAAGGCTTTGTAAAAGATGTATTTTGCTTTGGCAGCAGTCTGTCTAAGCTCAGTTTGTGTTTTACTTAGTGTATTAAGAGAGAGCTCTAAAAGGGGAAAAAAAGACCAAGAATATCTTATCTGGCAGACAGTGGAGCTTAACCATTTTTTCTTTTTTTGATTCTCTTGCTGAACTGTAGTCGTTTCAGTTTGAAAGTCTCTAAAGTTACTGTCGTTAATTTAGTATTACAGTTTCCACTTAGCTTCATTTGACAACTATATTTGATTCTCTTTGCCTTTACAATTGACCTCTGCTGATATTCTAGGTAAATGAGATGAAGATGAGGTGCGCCACACGTGTACGTACGTGGGTGGCAAGACTGATCTGTAGTTGACAGAAAAACTGCACAGTAATTTTTACAATCACTTCAAACTGACACTGCTCACTAAAGAAGTGATGCCTTTCTGCAGCCCTCTCCTAGATGTTGATTCCCGTCATTCTAGTGATACGAGTAGTTGTACAGCTGCTCAGGCAACTGGAGTGGAGACTTGCTGTCCAAGTGTCTACTTTGGGTTGACTCTGGTGCTTGACTGACCCATCCTTGAGTGGCTTTATTTCACTAAATAGGTAGAAAAAATAGACATGTTTTTATGGTATTATTTGCTGCTGGCTAGCTGTTGATTTATGAGAATGCTTGAGCTGTAATGCAAGGGAAGCAGCAGGAACATGTAGCTGGAGTTGAAGGAGAAGGATCCTCCATTTTGGTGACAGTGAGTTGTTAGATCAGCTCATGAAACAACTCTTCGGTTTTTTTTTTTGTTTGTGTTTTTTTGTTTTGTTTTTGGATGGATTTAGTCCCCTGGACAGCATGGGGTCACAAGAATGAATGGCTAGGGCAGGGGAAAATGGCTAGACAGGTTGCTAGGCTTTTAGTTTGTTTTTTATGTCGCAATGCTCACTCATGCCAGAATAAAACCATGTTAAAGTTTTGGCTTAAATGAAATCCTCTGGTTACACCAAGAAGTGTTTGGAGACTTTAACTGATGTTGCTACTGTGCTATGTGTTTTATAAACCTGTGTGTACTATATGCTCAGCTACTGTTATAGTAACAGAAATACATCATCTCAGACAGAAAAGTGTTAATTCTTTATTTCCAAATGATGTAGAAGCAAGATAAATGATGATATGCAGAAAATTTTATTGCTACTCTTCAAAATTGCACTTATCCTGTTAGTGAGTAGTCTGGGTTGTAAATCCTTCTAGGGGGTTTTTGGCTTTAGTCTTACACAGCTTTGCAATAAAGGTTATTTTGAAAAACACTTGTGGGTTTGTTTTTTTTTTTTGTTATCCTAGGTGGATGGAAAAGGATCCATCAAAGAGTTGTTTCCCACAGGGAAGCAGCTGGAACCATTGGTAGCTCCTGTAGCAGGTGGAAAATTTGTGGTTGGTCAAGATGATCTGACAGTTGTGCTCAATGAAGAAGGGATCTGTACGCAGAAATGTGCCTTGAATTGGACAGATATTCCTATAGCCATGGGTGAGAATAAGCGGCAATTTTTTTTAAATTTGCTTCTTTACTCCTTTGTATATGACAAAATCGTTACATTCCTGGTATTTAGAAACTAGCTGGATTTGGAGTGTGACAGTTTCTAAAGTGTTTCAAGTTGTATGCTGTGGTAGATTTCGTGTGTTTATTTTTATTTCTTCCCCTTCTTTGTCTGTAGTCTGTATGCCTATCTCCTCCTCAGAAAATAGGCGTATTGTGTATCTTTTTTTAAAGGGACAAGATTTGAAATAGAAGGTAGTGTATTAAAGCACTATAGTTCTGGGCACCTGAATGCCACAGAAATTTCTTATGTTGAAAGATGAATAAAAAGCCTGTTAGTAGTCTATTAACCAACAGCTATTGGTGTTGGGCATTGAGTTTTGTCTTTAATAAACAAAAGAGGGACACATTTCAGGAGGGGGAAACATTGAAGAGAAGCCTTGCTTTGAGTCATGGCTTGTTTCAAGGAATACTTGAGAACAATCAAATTGTATTTTTCATTTGTTTCACTAACAGAACACCAGCCTCCCTACATTATTGCTGTTCTGCCAAGGTATGTGGAGATCCGCACTTTTCAACCCCGGCTGCTGGTACAGAGTATCGAGCTGCAGAGACCACGCTTCATCACCTCTGGAGGGTATTGAGTGTAACTGATTATTACTTTCATCTGACTGTCTGGGTGTATGGTAGCACTCTGAAAAACTGGGAGAGGAAGAGCTTTTCTGACTCCCTCGGCTTCAGAAGTAGCATTGAAGCAGTCCATTGTTTTTTATGAACAGATAGGTGGAGGTCATACCTTGAGGAGTAAATGATAGAGTTGAGTGTCTTTGGTAATTTCTCATCACTGGAGATACATTCTTCTCCCTTCTGCTTTGCAGTATTGCTCAAGTTGCTCTTGTATCTGATTGAACCATGTGTGTATTAACCAGGATTGTTTTTTTTCAGATAGGGTATTGCTTCTTTCTCAGTGCTGGAACTTAGTAACTGACATTTTTGTCTTATTCACAGTACGAATATTATATATGTGGCAAGTAATCACTTTGTTTGGCGTCTCATTCCGGTGTCCATAGCCACGCAGATCCAGCAGCTTCTGCAGGACAAGCAGTTTGAGTTGGCTTTGCAGTTGGCAGTAAGTACTCAAAAACCTTTGGGTTTGCAGCCGATGCACTTGTGCAAAAGTATGCAAAAGCATGTTTGCCTTATGCTTGACTGTAGCTAGTCTGGAGAGTTTAACCTCCCTACTGTCCTCTTTGCACAAACTGGTGAACCCTGGCCTTTTTAAACTTCAGTTTTAGTTTTGTGCTGCCATTTCTCCATATTGATCTATTGTGGTTTAGATTTTGAGATATCTTGTGTGTGAAAGATTGTCTGTTTTAACTGTTTCATCGGTTACTGTCTTTTAGACTTTGAAGTCAGTTGGACTTCAAAGTCTTCAGACTGCTTGTAAACAGTTTTGCTTGGAGTTGTGTGTTTTGTTTTGTCAAATGATCTTTTTTTTTTTTTTAATGCCCCTCTATATTACTCCTGAAAAATAGTAATTTCTTAGAGATGCTGAAGCAGTACGTTTAATTATATTGCTCTTTCTGTTTTAGGATTTTCTGGTTTCCAGAAACTTCCTTGGAACTACATTAAAATGAATTAATTGCATTTTGTATTGCTAACTTGAAAAAAAATTTTGAAAAGGCAAAGGAGTGAAGAGAGAGTTGCCGTGATAGAGCAATTGTGTAGATAACCAGAGGTAGCTTTGAAACCTTCCAGGTTATCTCAGTGACACAATAAGCATAGCATCTGAGAATCACCATCAGAGGTGTTCACTTTAGAAGATTATCTTTTTACTTCTTATTCTCTCCAAAGGATAATACTGTTATTTCTGTAGTGTTTCCTTCTCATTTATGAGGCCCAAGAGTTTTTCATGTTTGTTAATTTGTATGTGTGTAGGAAATGAAAGATGATTCAGATAGTGAGAAGCGACAACAAATTCACCACATAAAGAACCTCTTTGCCTTCAACCTCTTCTGCCAGAAGCGCTTTGATGAATCCATGCAGGTTTTTGCCAAGCTTGGTACAGGTAAATGCTTGGGTTGGCATTGCAATACCTAGGTTGGGAGGAATGAAATGAAGCTCAGAGACTATTGTGTGGGTGTTTTTGTTTGTTTTCTGTTTCGTTTTTGTTTTTAAACAGTAGTCTCTTGTGCAGACCAGTCCCTTGTGAATGGCAAATAGCCTAGGCAGCTATTTAGCTTTTTTTCGTGAAACTAGTTATAGTACTTAATTAACTTCAGTTGATGAGTTAAATCATGAATTTTCCCTTTTATGCAGAATATATTTGTATTGTAGGCTATTTTACAGTGTGCATAGTGTGTACATAGACCATTGGAGCTGGGGATTTCAGCAGCTGCGAAAAGCCTACTTGTAACTTGGAAGGAAAAATAGGGAACATCTGTAGATGTGCTAAATCCTTGGACTCAGACCAAACTGAGGACCCTGAATCCTGTTTCCTGTTTAATGGCCGAAGTTACTGAAGCCAGGAAACTTTTCTGTAGTTTTGAAAGTCAAAATAAGTCTCTGTTGCTATTCCTCTGGTTTGTACTAGGATTATTGGAAGAACATCTGGAGACTGGACTGTAGCATAGAATAGTGCTTAAGACTGAGACTCTTTTATAGGTGACAGCACATCTGTTGTGCGTTTAAACCTAGAGCTTTCACTTGTTTTGATGACAACATCATACTTACTTTGGAAAACTGCAACGAAAGAAAAGAACTGAGAACTCAAAATACTTTGAACTTAGAGGGCAGTAATTTTTAATTTGCTTAAACTCCATGAAAATGGGTGCTCATTACTTACAGATGGTGTTATTCAGTTCTTGTTTCAAAAGCACAGTAAATCTTCTCTTAAAACATTGCTTATTCCTAGAAATCCTATCCTACTGTCAGAGTTAATGCTGATATTCTACAAGAGCAGTAGTAAGAGGATTATAATAATGGCTTGGCCTCCAGGTGTGCCAAGCCCACAGGTTGGAACTTGTTGTGCTTAGACTTTGAAACAGTCTTTTCTCTTGCTTCTTTTGTCTTGTTTTGACTTTTTTTTGGTAAAAACCAAGTTTTGTTATCCAGAACCTTGTGGACATACAAGTTGGTTACAAACATCTCTCTTGGAAAGCTGAGCTTGCTCAAAGGTTACATATATTAAAGAGTTTGCAAAAATAATGTTATGAATGGTTACTAATACTAGTTATTTTTTGCGTAGATCCCACTCATGTGATGGGTCTGTATCCTGACCTCCTGCCCACAGATTACAGGAAACAGCTGCAGTATCCCAACCCCCTGCCAGGGCTGTCTGGGGCAGAACTGGAAAAGGCACATTTAGCTCTGATAGACTACTTAACTCAAGTGAGTGCTCCTATATCTGTTTTTAGAGCAGGGTTATTCACTGCTGCGGTAGGATTGAGAACTCCATGGCCTTTTCATGTTAAAATTTCATTTGATTTCCTGCAGAAAAGAAGTCAGCTGGTGAAGAAGCTAAATGATTCTGACCATCAGTCCAGTACTTCACCCCTCATGGAAGGCACACCCACGATCAAATCGAGAAAGAAGCTGCTACAAATCATCGATACCACCCTGTTAAAATGTTACCTCCATGTGAGTTTCTGCCTGACCTAAAGGCCTTTCCTTTACCTTGCAAGCTCTGTTGGACTTTCAGGCTGAAACATTTAAGAAGGATAAGGAGCTACATCAGAAATTCTCACACAACCATCTGTCTTTGGTCTAAAAACAAGTTGTGAAACTTTGGTGTTAGCTAGTTTGCTCACTAGTCAGGAAGTAGTTTCATGGAATAAAGCAGGTGTGTCTGCTTCTGGTTGCTGCTTCTGTCAAAAAAATGTGGCCGTGCCTGTGTATTTTGAAGTTCTAATGAATGCTTCTTGTGTTGCCTTGTACTGTTAAATGCAGGAGAGTCTGATTTTTGCTGTCGATGTTTTTCAAAGCTGACCCCTGTTCTTGAAGGGGAATTGCTCCGATATATTGTTTTATTTCTGTCCCAACAAATTATGGAAATGAAGATGGGCCTTGCTGTAAGACGTTAAACTGTCATTTCTTATGCTATGAGGCTTCTTTCTTTTTTTTTTTTCCCCCCTCTCTTCCAGCTTGTATTTTGTACTATAAGCTTAGGAGGTGCACATTAGAAGTGTGTTTAAAGTGCTCCCTTTTTGCTTGCAGACAAATGTAGCACTGGTGGCACCATTGCTACGTCTAGAGAACAATCACTGCCATATTGAGGAGAGTGAGCATGTACTAAAGAAGGCACACAAATATAGTGAACTGATAATACTGTATGAGAAGAAAGGTCTGCATGAGAAAGGTAGGTATGAAGTTGGGATGGGGAGAGAAAGGCTAGAAGCATGTATTCCTAGTATTTAGTTTTGTCTTCAGTGAGCAGGTAATATTCTGAAGAGACTTTGTTTCTGGATCTTTCTTGTGATTAAATTGGTCTTTGTTCCTGTTAACTGTTTGGTCTGTGTGTTTGAAACAAAATTTTGTTTTGCCTCTGGTAGCTGAACAGGAGAAATGCACTTTTGGGGGTTTCAAGTTAGAATGATACTTGTGGTTACAAAGGAATGGACCTTTTTGTTCTGAAAGCATTACAGGTACTGGTGGATCAGTCAAAGAAAGCCAACTCACCTTTGAAGGGCCATGAGAGGACAGTGCAATATCTGCAGCATTTGGGTGAGTGTGAAGGAGAGCATTGTTTTTGTGAAAGTATGACTCTTTTGGGGTTTAGCAGTTATTCTGCTGTTCAGTAACTTTGTAGAGACTAGCAAGCTAAAGGATATCATTGTCATCTTGTCTGGTTTCTTGCATAATGCAAACTTCAGGGATTAATTCACAAGCATCTTGTTGAAACTTGAGTATATTACTGGAAAATATTACTATCTCTGATAAAAACTTCCATTGGTAGAAAATGTGCCATAGTATTTTGAATTTTCTTCCAGTGATGATTTACCATCAGTGACAAAAGGAAAGTCTAACTTCTGGGTTAGGCTTTCCAGCTGAAAGTTTAACTTCCAGTTGCAGGGACTTTGTAGTATCTTTCCTGAGATGAAGAACCCTATATGAAGTTTTTGTTTTCTGTGTTTAGGTAGGTCTAGATAATGACCTGACAGTTGTAGTTGCTGGTCACTACATCGTGGTAGGAACTTACATGGTTGACTATTCACTGTGAACTCACAAGTCCTTTCTTGGTTTTGCTACTTTTGAGAATAGTCCTGTCCCATCCAATAATACTATTTATTTCTATATGGACAGCTCTGAAAGTATCACACTACTAGTTTGGGAGTGAGTAGCTTATGAGGGAAATACCTTTGTTCATCTCCTGCTCTTATGCTGTTGGCAAACTTTGATATTTTTTCCTGTAATTACTACTTTTAAGAACTGCTGGCTTCTGTTAGCAACATGTTTCTTCAATGATAATTCATTACTTAGAATGATATTGAAATCTTTCCTGTTTGTGCCGTGTCTCTCTCTTATGCTTCTTATTCATTGGTGTCTTGTGGTAATGTCACTCATCTTAGAGAAGTGTAGGTATGTTATATTAAGCATACAGCTTTACAAAGCAAACTTCTGATCTTACTTGAAAAATAATTCTGTCTCCTTGATAAATTCATCTTGATTGACCTATGTCAGCTCTTCATTTGTTTTACCTGAGATTGATGATGTTTAAGACCTTAATTATCCAAGTGGCATGGAATACTTTTCTAAAATCTTGGCAGCTTGCTAAATTTGTTCTGAACTTCTGGAGCTTCTCTGTTTCAGGACCTCCTGAAAATCCGTTTTCCTGTATCCTTCTTGCTCAGCTCTTTAAAACTGATAAAGGATATTTGGGTCTGTTCACTTCAGAGTAATGAAATACAGAGGAAATGATGTAGAAAGTTAACGATTGCTAATAAATGGAACATTTTACACTAGTGTCACTTGCAGATTTTTCCCCCAAGTAAATAGCAGAAATGCAACACTGGGTGTGGGGGGGTTTTAACTGCACTGCCCATTCTGACTTGATTAATTGATGTGTCATTTCTGGGAGTCCCTTAAATAAGATGATAAAAGCATTTCAGCCTACAGGGTTTATACAGAATTTTTCCCTCTGCCTCTGCTTTGATGAGGCTTCTGTTACTTGTATAGTTGCATGGTTGCATTGCTGGGGTAGTGAATGCCTCAGTGCTTCTGATCAGGAGGGTGAGAGGAAAGTTATGTTTTCATAACATGTTTTGTAAGTTTTGTGAACGAAATTGTCCAAATAAAAGTATTCTTTTAAAGAGGCAGGTCCTAAATTTTCTTAAAAGCTGAGAAATTATTACCTGTCACTTAGTTTCTATGCCAGTTACTTCAGTACTGTGATGCTTTATGACTTTTTATGAAGTATTTGACCGTTTGCTGTAGAAGTCATTAGACTGGCAGGTTGGAAATGGACGGAAGGAAATTATGCAAGTGAAAAGTACAGTGCTTTTTCTACCCTAATAAAAACAAATTGTAAGGGAAGATTTTGGAATGTGATTAAAGCAACTGAGCTTGGATTTGGTCTGAATTGTTTACATTTGTTGGCGCTTATTCTTGCTTCGGTTGACGTCATGTTTGCAAAGTAATGAAATTGTGGCTTTAGCCTGTAGTGTGTGATTTGCTTGACTTGAGCGGGGACAACACACACACCACCTCCCCCTCCCCCCCAAACTACATTCTTCCTGTAAATTAAGCTTTGCCGGCTCTGAAAGCATCTGCTTGTGTTGTGAGTAGGTAACTCTTTAGGATTTTAACATTGAGCACTGCCACTTTTTGTATTCCAGGCACAGAGAACTTGCACTTGGTATTTTCATACTCTGTCTGGGTGCTAAGAGATTTTCCTGAAGATGGACTGAAGGTAAGTGTGGTTGAAACAGGCACCTTGCCATTGAGAATCTTAGTGCAGTGTATGGAGTTGGAAGAACTCAATGTAAGAAGCCATGTGTTAATGCTAAATCCAATTAAATATGTAATTTATATTTTCTGTGTTTAGTACTGTGGTAAGATTAGCAGTAGATAGAGCAGGACAGCCTTTCAGTTTTTCTTACATTTTCACGTTCTTGGAATACCTTACGTTCTAATAAGAAGCTAGGAACCTTTGATACAACATTTAATGTTGTTGCTGTCGTGCTTTTTGCACAAGAGCCTGATTGAGTATTTAAAAGTCAAATGTTAATTTGCCTTTCTTTTTGTCCCTTTCCTCTTTGATATAGAATTGACTCCTTGTATTTGGGAGGTGTTGGGCATTGTAAAAGAAGAGTGTTAACTAAGGCAGAAATGGGAATGTTTGTTAATCCTTTCAGATGCAAGATAGCTTCTGAGTGCTCTGATTTTTTTATACTTCTTGTCCTTACTCTTTGGACATACGTGATGATATGCTGGGCTTCAGTGCCTCAGAGAACATACACTGTGGCACTTAGGGGAAAAAAAAAAAAAAATATCACCATTCTGTGAACAAAATTTTGTTTAACAGATATTTACAGAAGACCTCCCTGAAGTGGAAGCTTTGCCACGAGACAAAGTGCTCAGTTTCTTGATGGAAAATTTTAAAAGCTTGACTATTCCTTATCTGGTAAGAACTCAATCTCTACTAGTGTGTTACATTCAGTACAACATGTTATGTGTAAGGCTTTAGTTCTCCAGGCATTGGAGTCTGATGCTGTCTCAGAGAATGCTAGCTTTGGCATAAGTTGTGCAGAGAAAAAATAATTAAAATATATGAAATCCTGAAGTCAAGCTTGGTAAAGGCAAGCATGGAACTGTTGCTTGCTTATATCAAGTTACTTCCCAGAGGAAGTGTCTGTAACTTAACCTGAACGTATATTTACAGGAACACATCATTCATGTCTGGGAAGAAACCGGTGCAGACTTTCACAACTGTCTGATCCAGCTGTACTGTGAAAAAGTGCAGGGCTTAATGAAAGAGTATCTTGATTCTTTCCCTGCAGGTATGTTTAGCCTTTTCTGGTGGGAAGACCAGGGCATGGGACAGTACAGGGGAGCCTTCACAGTCTATTGCTGTAGGCCTTCTCTGTTCACATCTAGAGGAAGATGTCCCAAGTAATGAAGGAACTGGAACAACAACAGTTGTGGGTTTGTAGGGAAGTCTAGTTTTTTGTCTCCCTAGAGATCTTAAGCGACCAAGTGATACTTTGTTCATGATGAAGTGGAATGGCAGCTACTGCTCCCTGAATTCTGCACAGTAAGGGTAGGGAAGGATCCCGAATAACTGAGTCTGTTGTTTAACCGGCCACTTTATGTGTTTTAAGGAGCTAAAGTAATTTGGCAGGTGCACCAGAATCTGAGCCCATGTAACAGTTTCATCAGCATTTGGTTCCTCCTCATAATGATTTGTTTGTTTATCATCTTCTGTGTACTGTTGTAGTGAAGTAGTTGTAATACCATAGCTTGTGTTGTTTTCTTCCATATAGATAAAACTCCAGTTCCTGCTGGGGAAGAAGGAGGAGACTTGGGGGATTACCGGAAAAAACTTCTACTTTTTCTGGAGAAGTCTAGCTGGTATGAACCTAGTCGACTGATTAGTGACTTCCCCTTTGATGGTGAGTTCAGTTTCGATGGGTTAATTAAACCCTAGCTTATTGCATTGTACAGCAAAACCTCCTCACTTACTGTAGATTCGTGGTAACTAGAAACAGAGAAGATGGCTGTATCTGTAGTTATAGGCCACTGGTGTGTATACTAACTCTGGTTTTGTTGGCACAGTAGGGTTTACTGGTCTCTGCAGGATTCCTGTAATTCGGCCTAAGACCTTGTGGTGTCTGCCATGACTTAGCAGCCTAACTTTTTGATGAGCCTGAGTTGCTCAACAGGTCTGAAGTTTGTTGTTTCTGAAGGTTGCTTAAGAATTCATAAAATGTTACTGAGACTAATGTGAAGTAGACTTACAGTCTCAGTGTAACTTTAACCTGTGCTTAGACTAGTTTATAGTTCTTCCTGTTAGTCTGGTCACTAATGAAGCTTATGTTGTCATTTCTCTGTGTAGCTATTGAGTAATCCTTCATGCTATCACTAGGTCTGCTAGAAGAACGTGCTCTACTCTTGGGTCGTATGGGGAAGCATGAGCAAGCTCTGTTTATTTATGTTCATATTTTGAAGGACACCAACATGGCTGAAAAGTAAGTGTGTGTGTTTTTTTTGTTTGTTTTCTCATTCCAAGTCTTAGTTTGCTTACTGCGCTATGGATAGGATGTGTAGTGAAGTGTTGCTGTATGTGGAGCATGAATGCTGTAAGCCTTCAGGATCTTCTGGGTTTCCATGTTTTGGTGACTTTTAGGCTCTTCCAGATATATGTTCATTACAGATGATGATGATGCTGTCCCCTTGAGGTTTACCTTTTCATGCCCTTCTGTCTTTGCACTTTAGAGCAATACGACTGTCATCAATGAGTTCTTTGTTTCCACCTGTCCTTAGCTTGTGAACTGTTGTATGTTATTTTGCTTCCTTTCTCTTTGGAGAGACATTCGCTAGCCCAGATGCAAAGTTAAGCTCCTTCAGTTAGCAGAATCCTCTCTAGTAAAGACGGATCGTGTCAGGGAACCTTCTGAGTGAATGTGAAGTACTTAGGTGAAAGCAGAATTAACCAATGCTGGCACGTACATCTGAACATTGGGGCCTGTTCAATATAGCTTCTTTTAAAGCTAGTTTGAGCAAATGCCTGTTAGAGGACATTCAAGCCCCTTATGCACGTATGTATTTTTACGCTATGATGTGTTGATTGGAGATATCTTTTTCCCCTTTTTTTTTAATACAGCTGAAATTTAGTTTCTGCATTAAAGCTTTTTAAGTTGATTGGAAGTGGGAGACTTGCACAAAACCTCCCTTTTCTCAGCATTGTAATACAGAGTAAATGTTGTAATTTTGTTGTGCAAGTTGATTAATTGATCAGAATCGGATGTATGGTCACCTAACTTGGATGGCTTCAGTAATCAAAACATTTAAATGTTAATTTCTGTGGACTGATTCTCTGGGTTCCAAAACTGTCCTGCATTTCACTTGATTCTTCTCTGTTCTAGCTACTGCCATAAACATTATGACAGAAACAAAGATGGCAACAAAGATGTAAGTAGCTTTATCTTGCAGCCTTTTTTTTCAGTTAGGATGTATTACACTATTCAGACCATGTTAGGGACTGTAAAGTTTTTGCTCTGTATAGACTTTTTCAGTGTTTGTGTAGGTGGACAGGAACCCATGTATAAACTCTTGGGATTTAGGAGTTGCTAGATTATTGGGGTTTTTTATTTTTCTAAATTTTTTGTTGAGAATGTTGCTGTATCACTTGAGCATATATTCTGTAGGTCAAGTTCTGACGGAATTCAGAAGGTAAAATACTGTATGCGTATTCCACATACATCTACAGAAAAGTTAATGGTAAAAAGCAATGAAGTGTTGGTTTCTAAAGGTTATAAATGAGTTATGTAAGATAAATGAGGGAGACATGGTTACAACTACTTTTATAGAAAAATGTTAGTGTAGAATGTAACTCTTAAAAGGCCTTGAATGTCATGGGTACTTTTTGGTTTTTGTTCTTATAAGAGCTGTTCAGATGAGCAGTTCAGAATTTTGAATGGCATGGGTACAACTTAGTACTAGCATTGCTCGCTTCTACCAGCACTGTGAATTGTGAGTATGTGCAGTGGTTTCAGAACTTTCCTTTTGTGTGCAACAGGTCTATCTGTCACTGCTCCGCATGTATCTCTCCCCACCTAGTGTTCATTGCCTGGGACCAATCAAGATGGAAGTGCTGGAGCCTCAAGCCAATTTGCAGGCTGCTCTGCAGGTTTTGGAACTACATCATAGCAAACTGGATACCACTAAGGTAAGAAAGACATCTAAGCACTCAGTTTGCACTGTTGGCAGAAGGTGACAGAAGGTACTGGAGTAGGCAAGTGAACGGATTGTAACTGTGTCAAGCTAAATGTGTCAATTTCTATTCAATTTTGTTCTATATTCCTTTTTAATTTTTCCTCACCAAGTATATTTTGCTCCAGGCAATAAACCTACTACCTGCAAATACCCAGATTAGTGAGATTCGAATCTTCTTAGAGAAGGTCCTTGAAGAAAATGCTCAGAAGAAGAGATTTAATCAAGTACTCAAGAATCTTCTTCACGCAGAATTCCTGAGAGTGAGTACCCACCACCTGTCATTTATTGGTACAGTGTTTGAAAACAGATGTTCAATATTTAAATTAACTTAATTTAAATTAACTTAAATTCCTTATATGGAATGTGTGTCCTCTAGATGGTGCTATAGTGCACCTGAAATTAGTAGATGTGCATCAAGTAGATTGAATGTCCGTTTTTCAGGAGATGGTGAGTACATTCATTTTAGTTTGGAGGAGATATGTGTCTTTGCTGTGGGTCTCTGGACTCACTGTGCTGTGGTGTGCATTGCAGGGTGATCTCAGAGAGCATGGACAGGATTTCTTTCAAATAAATGAAACCAGATGATGCAGTTCAGTAGTTCACCTGAACACCACTTAGTGGTCAGAATGGCTTAGTCTGTGGACCAGACTAGATGAAAGTAAAATCCTGAAATTCATATAGCGTGGGTGTTAGATGTTCAATACCACCTGCTCTGCTCTACAGACCTGCTTCTTTTGTGCTGGACAACTTGTTAATGTAGATATAACCACTGAAAATTAAACATTGTGACAGTTTTCAGTTTTACCAGACTAGAAAGGAGCTGTGGTGTGGCACTGCTTTTTGAGCAAGTTTATTGGTTTTTTTTTTTTTTTTTTAATTCTTCTTTAGGTCCAGGAGGAGCGGATCTTGCATCAGCAAGTGAAGTGCATTATTACAGAGGAGAAGGTGTGCACTGTATGCAAAAAGAAGATAGGCAACAGGTGAGAGCGTATGCTTTAAAGCTTGAGAAACTGAATCAAATATGAATCTGGTATACTTAAACTAAGAATGTTGCAAAACTCGTAATGTGTATATACACAGAGAACAGCAGTATGGGGGAGGCATTTGTAGAGTGTTTGAATTAGATTGCTGTACTGTGTGGCTGGGAAAACATCAGAGCTTTAGTCAGTGAAGTTTACTGCAAAAGTTTAATTCTGCTTTCCACAAAGGAGAATGAAATATCTTCAGAAATTCATAAAACTTCTTACTTCACAACTCTAGAAGGCAGAAAATCACTTCTCATACTGAATTTGGAAAATTTTCTAAGAACACTGCCTACTACCCACTTCTTAACTAGAATTAAGAGGGATCATATGAAGAATCTCAAACTAAGATACATGTGTAGTAGTTTTCTATATCTGATGGCTTTGTGGTTCCTTTGCTGGTTTACATTTTGTAGCCTAATTATCTTAAGATATCTAAAAGTAGAACTAATTCACTTGATACCTGGATGCCAATAACTTTTCTTCTGCCATTCCTAGCAGGTAACTATGGGTTAGTATAGATTGCAGATTTGATTTGCACTTTTTCTTTTTCCTCTTTGAACTCCAGTAAAATGCCACATGACTAGCTTATTCATTGTTTCTCTTGTTGATGTGAACCCCTTTGAGGTATCGGTAGCATTCACAATGATAGGGAAAGGTTCTTTTTCCAAAACATTTTAATGAACGTAGGTCTAAATATACTTAACACTGTGCATATTCAGTTTTTTTGCTGTTAGTGTGTAGCATGTAGCATCAGAATTTAAATTTGCATTTGCAGTATTGTTTTGATTGTCTAGGACTTTTCTAATGCTGTTAAGTTCAACAAGGTTTTGGAGGGCAAGCATGTCACCCACTCTTTAACTTGTTACTAGTGATTTCCAAGTAAAGTATGCCTATAGAAATGAAAACAGATATTATTTTTTCAAAATGAAACTCTTACAAAATCTGTAGCATTCTTTTGTCTGGTTTTCTCAAGAATATATTCGGGCTGTAATTTAAACAAGAAAGTGTCGCTTCCATGTAAGCATGTTTTTCTGATTCTGCACAACTTGGATGTTCTTGTTTGAATAGGGAAAACTGTTTGTCTGTATTGACAGTTGATTTTTGTGTTCTGTCTCTTTACAGTGCATTTGCTCGGTACCCTAATGCGATAGTTGTGCATTATTTCTGCTCCAAAGAAGTCAACACATTGGACACCTGACCTTGTCATGGTTAATGATCCCAACGTTCATATGAAATTCAGAACTGATTACTTAAGAAGTTCATGCCTCTGAGATTTTTTTGAGGCTTGTTGCTAGATTCTTTTACACTGGGTAGAAGTCATTTGTATCTGTGGACTGACTGTACCTATCTGGCAATGTTAATTTACTAGAAAATGACTTTAACCATGTTATTATAGTGCTGGCAACTACACTGAACCTCTCAGTACTCAGATGAGGAGTAGAAACTGATTTTTGTAGTGAGTTTTGTATTGCGCTCCAGCCTTGCAAATGAGTTGTTAGACAACTGTTAGGCATTCACCACAAGTCAAGTTTTACTATAAAACTTACCTCCTTAGGGTGACAATGTTGTGATTTGGCCTTGTATGTGAATAGTTATTCATAAAAAGAAAATTCCTTTAAAGTCTTTGCAGCTGTATCAGTGTTGCATGGAGATCACCAGGTGTTTGGCATAGAGGATGCTTCTGTGCCTATTTCTAGACCTAGAAAATAGAATTTTACTTTCATCTCAGTAGTGGGAATGCTGAAGTGCTGGCCAAAGGAATCTTTATTGATATTCAGTGTTATCACCTGACCTTCTGGTAAGAAGTTGTTCCACAGGAGATAGTCAGACAAACAGTAGATGCCACCAGTAAGCGTTTTTTTGTCTTTTTACTTTGAGAGCTGTAAATTGAATTAACTTATGTGTTGTTTGCACTCTTAGCATGAGTGGAAGTATGGAGACTATTCTAAGAAGTTCACATTGGCACTCATACCAAAAAGCAAAGAGCACCCTGTAAAGCGACTTCTGAAGGGAGTGAACTGTAGCTATTGCTTGAGCTTCTCAACTACAGTTGAGATTTGTATGTGTGAGTTCTTCAGTCTCTGGTTCACTTTCCAGCATTGAAGTAAAATCCAGACTGTTTCAACATCTCTTTATTTTAAATGCTCTAGAACTGTGTTCTGCTCAGGCTGGTACTGTTCTTAAGTTACTCTTGGGCCAGAAGTCTTAACTATAAGAACTAGATTGTACTATACTCCTTGTAGGCTGCAATATTTTTGTCTAACTTATTTTTCCACAAACTTTTATCTATAGCAGATTGGTATGAGGGATATTAAAATGTTTGATCAGTGCAGAAAGAATCTGTGCACTGATAATGAAAAGGCAGCAGTAGCAAATAACCCAGTAGAGTGGCAATTTGACTTCCAACATCCTGGTTTAGCAATACTTATCAATATGTAATTATGAAATAGTTTGAAGCATGGCATGTAACTACCAGATATCACCTCTTAACGAACAAGTCGATTAATAGAGCCTGCCTACCTTAGGGGTGATTAGATCTCAGTTAACATTATAGGTTTACTTAAGCCATTGTTAATGTGAGTGTTTTCTAGGAACAGATCTGCTGTAGGCTGACAAGTCCTAATTCATTTTCATTTGCCAGTGTTAATGGTTTCCCTTGATAACTATTTGTTTTTTCCCTTCCCACATGTGTTTGTATTTATTGTTCATATGCCATTTATTCTTACGGATTTCTTGGTCCAGTGTTTTGCTACTTCGGTACTTGGGCAGTATAGCTGCTGATGTCTTTCTGCAGAGTCTGGGTAGAGGGAATCTGTGGTGTTAATGTTTTTAACCTTGTATTTCTTCTATTTGAAGAAGAGAGCCTAAAAATACTTATACTGGATTTGCACATTCTGTATAGATCTTTATATACTAGTTCAGGTACAGAGGGAAGAAGGTTTGGGAGAGTTGTGTTTACGGGTCATTGAGAATGAAAGAAGGGTATTAAAAAAGACCCTGTGTTCTTTGTATACAGATACAACAATATTGGTCTGATTTTTACCTATCTTATCTTAGTACTGTTAGTCTAACTTTTATTTACCTTCATTATCTGCTACCAGGAGAGCTGTATTCACGTATGAGGATCTTCATTGTGCTCTTACTTATACAGTTAAGGTTGTGCCTCTGTTCACCTCCATTGCATACCTTTTACAGAGATGTGGTTTGTGCTGTAATTTTTTTTGTTGGTTCTTACAATGTGGTTTGGGTTTACTAACCTTACAGCAGGTTTATCTAAAGCAATAGATTGTAATAAATATTGTGAACCAGTGTGTGTTTTGGTCATTGTGCAGTTAAGCTTCTCTGGGCTGCTGTAGATTTTTATTTTTTTTTTAAAATATATTAGTCCTCACTTTCTCCTGGAAGTCAGACTGAGTACAGGGGCTCCTGGTGTCACTCCTGCTTTAATATGTGTAGTTTGAACAAGGCTGAGACATAGGAGAGCTGTCATTGCTTCTCAACTTTGGTTTTAAATCTACAAGTTTATAGTATGCTTGTGAATGTTCTCAAAATCCTACTAAAACCACTTTTGTATTTTCTTTGAATAATGTTTTTGAAAGTCTTATACCATTAAATATGTACTTATTAGAGAACACTAAAATTACTGACAATTTTTTTGAGTGGTGGTATGCTGTTTTGGCATGGGGAGGGATTTTGAGCTTTGTGTGACCAAATCAGGAAATGTTTAGATTCACAAGTTTGCAGTTGCTTGAATTGTAGGTCATAGACTAGTCTAGTGTTAGAAGTAGAATATAGATCTTCAGTTTTCCCATGCTATAGAAATGGGAGATACCAGCACTGAAGAAGAATCTTTTGTCTCCATGTTGGACAACTGAGTATATTGGTATTTCTGCAGAAGACCAGCCCACCAAAGAAAACCCCAAATCAAGACCTCGATAGCATCCTTTGGAATCTTCATCTTTTCTAATTATGTGCTGCGTCTCAGCTCTCCTCTCAGTGCTGCTAATGGGAGCAAAAGGGGTCCCTTGTGATATCTACACACATTTTAAGTACTATATAGTATTGTTGGTGATGGTGGCATTTGTTCATGCTTGCTGACAAAAAAATAAGTGAATGAAATGTTGATACACATTTACCACTATGGAGATGCTAATCCAAGCAGAAGTAAAGTTACCAGATATGAGGCCATCTTTGTTGCTTCATGTTTTGATGCCATTTTTCTCATGTGTTTTCGTAGCCTGCTAGGAAATGATAAAATCAAGTAGCTTCTCTTTGGATGTTGACTGTCAACAGTGTCTGTAGATAGCTAAAACTGCACACAAACACTGTTTGCTAATGGATGATCTGTTGACTATGAAACAATTCTTAAGCATATGTTCTAAAGAGCTTTCAGTTTTTCTTGAGAGAGAAATTGAAGAGAAATTCTATAAACACGAGATCCCTGTGCTGAGATTTCATTGGAAGAGGAGAGAGTACTTCAGAAGGCAGGTAAGCCTGATTTTAAAGTTGGGCGCTTAGAAGATTAAAATACAGGCATTATTTACTGCCTGTTATAAACTGTTTAGAATATGTGTGATTTCTCCACGTTAGCTTACTGTGTGAGGCTGCCTCAATTTTCCTGTGATTTATAGATGAGTATATTAGATTAAAAACAAATAAATCACACTTAAAATTTGGCAAATTTGTGAAGATAAATAAAACCTAATATGGCAGTCCTTCACTTTCAATGCAGTGATGTGTAGAAATGCAAATAAATCACTTTTTCAGCCCAGTGTCTAGCTTTACCATAACATTTAGTACCATATGAGAGCTTTACAGTGGTTGCTGATTGTTTTGCAATGGTATTATATTTGCTTTTTTGCCTGTGCATTGACTCTAAGTCTGTGAATTCACTAACTAGTACTGACTTGTTTGTGTTCTAAATGTTAGTGTTTATGCTTTTATTAGTGTCAGTCACTAAATCAGAATTTAAAAAAACTGATGGCAGGAAATGATTAATGAATGGAACCTTGCTGAGAATGTGTCACATTCTCATGTTTGTGTGAAGCTGGTGACATGCTGCATTACTGGCTTTCATACATTCTCTGTCACTTTCTAACTGTTGAAACACTTAAGTTTGTTTTTTTGGTCTGCTGCTTCAATTTAAGCTCTCTAACAAAAAGGTCCAGACAAGCCAACTGTCAGCAGCTGTTAATAAACTAATCACTTCTAATAAATGATTTCCTTTACGACTTAAATATTTTTTAAGGCACAATAGACTCATAAGAAAATCTGCCCTATCTGTTGTACATTTTTTCGTGCAAGAATCAAGACTGCTATGTGGGAATGGGAATAAAGGGGGGAATTGTGCAGACTGCTCACATAGTGAGGGGTTAGCCATGGTGGTGAATCAATATTCTCTGAGGCATCCTAATGCAGACCAAATTGTGGAGTCTCTGCTCGGGCATCCTTGAAACTTCTCTGAGCAGCTACAGTCAATGACAAATTCGGCTTTGCTTCAGGATTGTAAAATGGGAATTTCTTTCTATTTAAAAATATTCTTTTATGGTATGCTGACACTCTGAAAGGGTTTAAAACAGCAAAAGTCCTAGATCAGGTTGCTGGAACTCTCAAAGAAAATCTGGACCAGGAGTTTTGAGGTTGTGGCTTTAATCATGGAGTGGTTCTTCCTCCTACCCAGGGGTTCCCTGTTCAGTGCTGCTTTGCTGACCTTATCTTTTACCAGTATTTGAAAAACCTGCCAGCGAGGTTTTCAACTGGGTTGTTTGGCAAGCTCAGGCCACACCTCTGCTTCTCCCAGCTGGAGCACAGCCCAGTCCTGCGCAAAACTTCAGACCGAGCCGGTAGCAAAGCAGCCCTGGGCAGCCAGGCGTCTGGGGACTCTGTTTTCTGTGTTTCCCTGTCAGGTTTTCTGTGGAGACGACGGTACGTTTTTCCCATGTTCCAGGAGGTGCTGCGGGGCCCATTTCCACCCAGAGTGCTGCCTTTTCTGGCAGCTGTGCTTTTCCAAAGGAAGGAGAGGAAAGAGACTGGGTTTTATCACTGGCGGGTAAGAGAAATTGTAGTGCTGTCTTTTGAGAGAGCATTCCTTAACCAATGTGTTCAGCAGTGACTTTATGTTACTGCATGTATGGAAAACCAGTCCAACACTTCTGCAGGAGTTAATCAAAAAGTTTATTATTAGGGGAAAATTTTGGATAACAGTAATGCTAATGGAGATTCCAGGTTTTTATTAAATTCAGGGTCTGTGTGAGGCAATGCAGAGCAGATCTCTATTTCCTTATGTTTTGGGGAACAGAATTAAGCTGATGTCAAGTATTTTTTTTTTTTTGGGGGGGGGGGGGGGGAGGTGTGAGTCCAGAATACTTCACTTCTCATCAGTAAAAACAAAATGGTTCTTAGGTGTTTTCTTGCAAAATACCTTTGATTACTAGTCCTTCCTTTTCTGCTCTCTACCTTATTCCACACGGCTTAATAA